GTTGTAGAAACAGATAAACAATTATTAGAATAGAGGAGGGAAGATACTTTGACAGAATCTATGGCAAATAGTTTATTACTTAATCGAAAGTTTCTTTTAAATGCACTAGTATATGTGCCTATAATAAATACACCACTTCAGCGTTTGAAAATTCCTTAACGGACGATTTAACCTTACGGTAGCATTATTTTCGTATGAGTGGAGAAAATAAAGGGAAAGGATGAAGATAAAATAGATATTGAAAGTTCCATGCATACGAAACACTTTAGAAAATGGTTGAGTTTGTTACAAATTGAGATCTTCCAGTATAATGATTATATCAGAAAAGCCGTCAGCTGTGAGGAATCGTAAGAAGTGTACTACATTAAATACTTCCTTTCCAAAAGTAAACGTTTCTGGGTGTTAACGTTTAATCCGAAATGTTTTCAACTTTCCATTCTAATCCTTATTTTAATGAAGATTCCAAGAGAAAGTTTTAATTTTTCAATTTACACTTAAATACATTTGGTGGAAATAATCTTATCGGCCGGCGGCTTCAAATTCACATCAGCAGAGCGATTTAAGATTAACTTTTAGGAAATGTTATATAACTTCACGAAAATCCCTTTCATTTTTACCGAATAATATACAGCCTGTGTCCACCCTAAAGGTCCATTCTAAATACCGGTGAAAGAAGTTTTGAAATCGGATGAGTAATTTCCTAGATTGCTTACTATATAATCTGTTACAAAATTCTTTACTTGGTCAGCTTCTAGAAATATAAATAACAAGAATTCAACCCCTAAAAGAAAAACAATTTCGATTGTGACTATTGAAACTAAATTATTTTAAATGTTACGTATTTCTTACAGTATCTCGTTTTATGTATCCTAATAACNCTTAAAAAAAAATCTCGATTTTCTTAAGCTGTTTACTTAAAATACTAACACTGGGCTCTATAGTAAATGAGCTTGTGTTTATCCAGTCTAGACAACCCATCTTCATTAGTCTCCATTATGATTTAAAAGGGTCCATTGTGAGAAAATGAAGAAATAATAACACGCCGAGACGTTCAGCATGTTTGTACATTATATCTACTTGTATGTAAGTGTATCTCCGTCGCGACGCATCACCACGTCGGGCTCTAAACGCAAACAATAAGTCACCACTGGCTGCTTTAGTATTAAACTATGCTTTATAAAAACAAGGATTAGGATTTACTATTAACGTTACAGTAGGAAATCGTCATAATGTGGATGAGAACCCTGAAATATATAAGCGGCGTATTAGACCGCCGTATACCGTGACCAAACTAAACTTCCGATTATAGAAACGAATGTCCATTGACCTTAAAAATCGATATTTTATGGTTGCTGTTACATCATTGTTGTAAATTTGAGATATATTTGGTATAGCATTAGCAGAAGAGGTGCTGTTTTATTCGTGTATTCACATTAGATAAGTAGTACATAGTTCCTTGTTATCTGCGTTCGGAATATTTACCCTAAATATAATGTTTAGGCTTATGTCTCTTGAGAATCCAAAGAAATTGAGTGTGGTTCAACAATTAAGTGATCGGTGAAGAGTAAAGTTTTAATCGAAAATATGGTCTCATAAAATATGTCAAATCATTTATAATTTTTCGCGTTCTTAAAATAAAGGAAAGTGAATTGAAAAAAGAATAGAACATTGGCGACTATAGTGGCAAATTCAACAAATCTGATTGAACTGACAGTAATCGAAAAATTAACAAAAGCTGAAAATGATTATGTTTTAATTAGGATATTTTTCTTGTGATTCTTATGATTGTGAACAATTAAATCATTTTTACCCACAGTCATATCCTCTTCTATCTCTTGACGACGCCCTTGTAACATAAAGATATAGAAGAAATCAAAGCACTTCCGGGGTGGAAGGTTTTTTGTTACTTTAAATAAAAAATCACAACAGCAACGTTTCGCCTTATGGTGTTAAGGCTTCTTCAGAGTAGACTTCTGATGGATTATACTTCATAATCCTACTCTGAAGAAGCCTTAATTCTCTGAAGCGAAACGTTGGTGTTGTGATTATTATTTAATCTAATAAAAACCTTCCAGCCTAGAAGCCTATAGTTTTTATTGTTTATTGTCTACTCAGTGGAGCGCTTTTTTATATTTGAACTAACTTTTTTCTATCTCAATTGAGCTCAGGTGTCTTATCTAGATACTTGTTCAGAACGATCATAGGGTTTCCTTAGTTTCCGAACTTTTCTCATATCCTGTATCAAGTNAAGAAGAATAGTTTTGATACATAATTTTATTGCATCTTTTGTCTGTCTAACTGAATCCGAAATTCACAATGTTGTAGTTTACTAATTCAAAATTGTTCGTGTCTTTCTTGAAACAAAGCAAACACCACAATTTGACTTTATCAGATGGCAAATTCCTAAAAGGGATTAACTTTTGTTGTAGAAACAGATAAACAATTATTAGAATAGAGGAGGGAAGATACTTTGACAGAATCTATGGCAAATAGTTTATGTAAAGTCATTTATATTTATTAGCCCCTTTTTGTAGATTATTTAACTTTTCCATTTTTCTGCCGATTTATCTTTAGTACTTGAACTTTTATTCAAAACAGAATTAATCTAAAAATTCAGAAAAACACTCCAATATTTATGTCGTAAAAGTTTTATTGAAACACGACGAATATGTCGCCACAGGGGCTTCTTAAGATGAAGAAGTAGTAATCTACATAGTTACAATGTATAAAAGGTCAATTTTTAGCTAATCCAAGAAATTTACTAGATTTCAGCCTTCTTTGGAGTAGATAATTAATGCCTGTTATTAAAAGTTCGAATGCTTGGCTATGGACTATTCTTTATTCTATCCCGAGATAAAAATGTTCAGTCTCCCAGAGTCTCTGAAATCGAGACTCGAGTCTCCGTCTCTTATCGAGTCTCTCTGGTGTCGCTGAGAGAGAATGTCAAAAAAACTGTTTAGCGTCTCTGAACGAGAGACTCGAGTCGCTCATAGAGAGATCCTCATGTCGTATCCAATCTCTGAACAAGAGACTCAAATCTCTCAATAAGTCGTGTCTCAATAGACATGGTTAAAATTTTCTAAGTTCAACATATTTCAGTGATCCCAGTCTTTCTACGAGAGACTCGAATCTCTGAATTAACAATTTTATCGTTCTAGTCTCTCATACAGAGACTGTAAGAGTTCCATAAAAACACTTAGGCAATAACTGAGAGACTGTGAGAGACGCTCTCAGAGACGCTGAAAGACTCTGAGAGACTGGAGAGAGACTGAAAATTTTTGTTTAAGGTATTTTAGTGAAATTCTCTTTTGCATGCTTTATTAAGCAATATATTCACATACTGTTCTTTTTTTTTCCTACAAAAAAATCTCGATTTTCTTAAGCTGTTTACTTAAAATACTAACACTGGGCTCTATAGTAAATGAGCTTGTGTTTATCCAGTCTAGACAACCCATCTTCATTAGTCTCCATTATGATTTAAAAGGGTCCATTGTGAGAAAATGAAGAAATAATAACACGCCGAGACGTTCAGCATGTTTGTACATTATATCTACTTGTATGTAAGTGTATCTCCGTCGCGACGCATCACCACGTCGGGCTCTAAACGCAAACAATAAGTCACCACTGGCTGCTTTAGTATTAAACTATGCTTTATAAAAACAAGGATTAGGATTTACTATTAACGTTACAGTAGGAAATCGTCATAATGTAGATGAGAACCCTGAAATATATAAGCAGCGTATTAGACCGCCGTATACCGAGACCAAACTAAACTTCCGATTATAGAAACGAATGTGATCGGTGAAGAGTAAAGTTTTAATCGAAAATATGGTCACATAAAATATGTCAAATCATTTATAATTTTTCGCGTTCTTAAAATAAAGGAAAGTGAAGTAAAAAATGAATAGAAGATTGGCGACTGTAGTGGCAAATTCAACAAATCTGATTGAACTGACAGTAATCGAAAAATTAACAAAAGCTGAAAATGATTATGTTTTAATTAGGATATTTTTCTTGTGATTCTTATGATTGTGAACAATTAAATCATTTTTACCCACAGTCATATCCTCTTCTATCTCTTGACGACGCCCTTGTAACATAAAGATATAGAAGAAATCAAAGCACTTCCGGGGTGGAAGGTTTTTTGTTACTTTAAATAAAAAATCACAACAGCAACGTTTCGCCTTATGGTGTTAAGGCTTCTTCAGAGTAGACTTCTGATGGATTATACTTCATAATCCTACTCTGAAGAAGCCTTAATTCTCTGAAGCGAAACGTTGGTGTTGTGATTATTATTTAATCTAATAAAAACCTTCCAGCCTAGAAGCCTATAGTTTTTATTGTTTATTGTCTAGTCAGTGGAGCGCTTTTTTATATTTGAACTAACTTTTTTCTGTCTCAATTGAGCTCAGGTGTCTTATCTAGATACTTGTTCAGAACGATCATAGGGTTTCCTTAGTTTCCGAACTTTTCTCATATCCTGTATCAAGTTATAGATAGTTTTAGACTTCCGCAAACGGTACTAAGTTTGCAAGCATTTAACGGTAGTTTCTAAATCAACATAAGTTTAGTTTGGCAATGTGACGAAATTTATAGTCAGAAATTAACTTCCCGAAAGTCTTAAACTTGTTATTAATAAGTTCGATTCACAAATTATATATAGGTAATTCACAGCATTTCCTAAGGAAAATTGTAAGGAAATGTATGTAGTAGATACTCATTTATTCTATGAATTTTCTCAGACTGTATGAATCCAACAACTATAAAGTATGTTTTTTTACTTTTATTTTTCGACCCTAAAATTCTTTTGAAAAAAAAATCATTAAACGAAATGTTGACTAAAAAAAGTTTCAAAAACTTTTACTATGCTGTAATTATTCGTTAATCTTTGCGATGTCTCTCCTTATAGAAATCAATCAATAATCATCTTTGTTTCTTTTTCTACCATATTCAAAATTAAAGATAGCTATATAAATAAAATTTTTACTTGAATCACCTACTTTTAAAGAAGAAAAGTAGAAACAGCTCCAATATACAAATCTGCTTCATTTCTCTAGCTGTTTACATCATTATGCGTAAATAAATAGCGAACACCACTTGCATTTTTCATATTCACAAAAATTTTGTAAGATAAAATTTTCAAAAAAAAAAAGTGATGTACACCCTGGAAAGTTTTCTCAACGAATGTTACTTTTAATCGCGCTTTTATTTACACCACTACCCACTTTCGAAAAAAGTGCGTCGAAAAAGTTTGCGAAAATTTGCGAAACGGTATTTTCCCGGACAATAACACCCCAACCTTTTGACGAAACGCGGCAAACTAGTTAATGTTATCAACTCCTTAAATTTCGCATTGGTTGATATTCTCGCGCATTTTCGAATGCGCCCGCACAAAGTTTTTGAATTGCGCATATCCCATATTCAAATCGTGATAGTAGTAATAGTTATATTTACGATGAAGGGTTGGTGATAGTGATAATTCGATACATTTGTTGGTAACACGTAAGGACAACGAAAATTCGACATTTGACATGACATTGACGTTCAAAATCGAAAATTGTTAATCTGATAGTACTTTTCGTTATTAACAAGCAATTAATATTCTCTTCTAATACAATTCTTATTATGCCGGCTGAAACTATTAAACGGCTTAAAGATCAATTATTGGTGGCTAGGAATGAAATCAACAATTTACGGTAACTTTTTTAAATAATGATGCTATTGAAACATAACCTTAATTTTCCACAATAGGTATACCTGAATTTTACTGAATGTAGTATTTGCTTTCCAGACAGCAACTAATATCCGTCAAACATGCTACAAATAAACAGCATGAAGAAATTCAAAAGAAATTAGAAAATTGGCAGTGCCAAGAATGTCGAAGAAGACAGAATTTATCAAATATTGTTGAAATGTCAAGAAATAGAAATGAAACAAAAGAATCTGTCCTTTGTCCATATATTGGCACTATGTACACTCATTTCCCCGAAAAAAGGGGTACACCAAGACAACCTGGAATTTGTTCTAACCTAGTTGCCAAGTTAGTTCTGAACAGCAATATATTTACCAATCCGGAGCATGCTCTTGATGGTTTACAAGAATATTCACACATGTGGATATTATTCCATTTTCATAAAAATGATTCCACCCACACAAGAGCTAAAGTAACCCCTCCAAGACTTAATGGACATCGTTTAGGTGTTTTTGCAACTAGATCTCCAAATAGACCAAGTCCAATTGGTTTATCACTTGTAAAAATTGACAGAATTATGGAAAATGTGATTTACTTTAGTGGTGTAGATATGATAGATCAAACTCCAGTTATAGACATCAAACCTTACATACCCCAGTATGATAGCCCTAATGTTAACATGCCCTTACCTTATTGTGATGAAAATTTGGTAGAAGAAAACTCAAATTCACCAGCACCAGACACATATTCTCTCTTTAATATATCAGCTGTAAATGATTCTCAACCTGATGAAAATGGAATATCTCAAGTTACTGAAGCATTAGATAATTTAAATGTCAGAGATATGGATGGAGAAGAGGATGAGGAAAGAAATAATGATATGGGAGGTCCTACATTAAATATTCGTCAGTCCTTTCCTGATTCAAGGTATATATTTTCCTACATTTAAATTCCTAAAATTTCGTTTATCTACTAACAAGTAGTGTAGTGTGTGTATTTTTATGTTATTTTTTTTTACAATTGTTATTTAATCTCTAATTGTTCTTTTTCTTATTGAAAATATATTTGTTTTAATTTAATGTTCATATTAAAAAGTTGCACATTTTAGTTACAATTTATGTTTCAGATCACTCATTAGAATGGGTGAACGTGAAGCACCTGATGGTGAAGAAGAAGAGTCAGAGCGACAAGCTTCTGGTGTTTCAATAACTTTTGGTACTAGTCCATCCTCAAGAGACATTCGAACACCAGCATGGATAAATAATCCTCCAGTGCCAATCTTAACAGTCTACTTTCGGGAAAGAGCTCTTTCTCAGTTACAACAAATGGGTGTAAAGGTAAAGTTTAATAGAATAAGTAAGCTTTTGTTTGTTTTCATTTATTCATTGCAAATCAAAAAAACAGAACCAAATGACTGACATAGTTAATATGTAACATATATTAAACTGTTTAACTTCATTTTAAGAACTAATTTACTTCATAAGACTTGATTATCTCTTGTTAAGTTCAAATTACTGTATGTACGCCGATAATGGCTCACAGTAATAATTATTCCTTGTTACTAAAAAGTTTACTGTTGTTCAATTTAATTGATGGTTTATATATTTGTAATTAATTAAAGGTGTTTGTTTTTTAGGGTGAGCAAAAGAAGGCAGTAATCGAAAATATATTAAAAGAGGATCCCCGGTCAGTTTATCTACGCGAAAGAATAGAAAATTCTAATTATGTATTTAGAATCGCAGAGTTGTACGTTTCTTGCAGATTCGATGACAGATCTCATACCGTAACTGTTTTCCAAGTTTTTCAAGAAAACGTTGTACAAAACGAACAATGATAAAGTTAGTAAGTATATTAAGATATTTACTTTACGCTACTCTTTTTTTTGTGATATTTATTTAGATTTAT